ATCAAAATAAACCCAAATAACTTTCTCTATTTTAAAATTTTAAGATGTCATGATATGTAGTACTAGTTTTTAAAATTAATTTATTTGTTTTTGGCTGGTTGGGTCTTCGTTGCTGCGCACGGGCTTTCTCTAGTTTGCGGCGAGCGGGGGCTACTCTTCGTTGCGGTGCGCGGGCTTCTCATTGCGGTGGCTTCTCTTGTTGCGGAGCACGGGCTCTAGGCGCGTGGGCTGCTGTAGTTGTGGCTCACGGGCTGTAGAGAGCAGGCTCGGTAGTTGTGGCGCATGGGCTTACTTGCTCCGCCGCATGTGGGATCTTCACGGACCAGGGCTCGAACCCGTGTCCCCTGCACTGGCAGGTGGCTTCTTAACCACTGCGCCACCAGGGAAGCCCTCTGGTACTATTTTTATTCCAGTGGTACATTAAATGGTTTTCATAAAGATCAAATGAGTTAACATGTATAATTTGTGTGTTTCACACATTATTACTCTCTCCATTGCTTGAGAAAAATCTTTCAAAAGCTGCTTTAGCATGCTCTCTGCTGCCCTCTGCTGCTAGCTTTTAGAAACTGATTTTGATTCTGAGTAATGCTCACCTCACTTGTTCTCTTAACATAGTCAAAACCCCATGCAATATTAAAGTTTGAGGGAACTCTTTAATTTAATCCCACGTTCTCCATTTACAGATAAGAAGTTGAGTCTCTTAGAGGTTAAATGACATGCGAGCATGGGCTGTTTTCTTTTCTTTCTTTCTTTTTTTTTTCTTTTGGCCATGTGCATGGCCTGCAGGGATCCCCGACAAGGGATCGAACCCAGGCCCCCTGCAATGGGGGCGTGGAGTCCTAACCACTGGACTACCAGGGAATTCCAGTGGGCTCCGTTTTCTGACTGACAGCATTTGAATGCCTGCTGGCTTTGGGCAGATTACTTAATTTTGACATATATAAAATGAGCATAATAATAGTACCTACATCTTTGAGTTTTTGTGGGGATCCACTGATTCAGTACACAAAAAGCACTTAGTGTCTGGGTTGTAGCTAGTACTAAATGCTAGCCCTGTTACAGACCTGCCATTAACTAGACTAAAACCACAGCTAGTGGCAAGGTCAGAACTAGAATTCTAGTCTCTTGACTACCAGTTCAAGAATTTTTTTTTGCCTTAATGAGTCTGAATAACAACTAAATTCTACCTTTGAATGTCGATTTTTTAAATGTGACCTGTTCACATTTGAAGCCCTTGTAGTCTCTACAAAGCTATCGACACTGCAGCTCTTGTGGCTCATTCCTCCTTGTACTGTTCAAGGCAGGTTCCCCACAGAAATTATTACACTCACAAGCTTCTCAAGCCCCCAAACAGAAAATCCTACAGCCCACACTTGGGAGATGATTTCACTGTTGACTGTAAGTTACCCCTCTAACAAGCTCCCTGCCTGAATCTCCAGTGCACAGTTAGACACTTGCACTCATGTCAGACTCAAGAGGAACTAAACTAAGCCCATCAGCTCTCTTCCCGGCTCCTTCTGGCTCCCCATTTCGGTTATGGTCTCTCAAGTTCATCCCTTCTCTTCCTTTTCTGCTACTTTCCTCCTGGTTCCTTTCCCAATCACCTCAGGTGGGCATGAATCCAGCAGCCTCCTAACTCGGGTCCTTGACTCCAATCCTGCTGAAATTCCTCTTGCCCTTTACTGACAGATCACACCATGCCTTGAATAAGTTTGGTTACCTTCCAGAGCTTTGTACTGCCTTCAGGGTAAACTGAATGTCCTCAGCCTTGCATGTCTCAACTTACCTCCCTGACCTTATCGCCCACTCCTCGTTCGTAGGAATCTTTTCCTTTAGGCAGGCGGGTATCTATCCCTAGATATTAGGACATATTTTCTGCTTTTCCATCATGGGACCTACCACTGTACTGGTCTGCCTTGGGCTCCACACATCAGAATGGTAGGTCTCTTATTCTACCAGAATTAAGGTACCAACAAAGCTCTCAGTCCACGGCAAATGGGGCAAAGGGCTCATTCAATACTCAAAACAAAATCCTGGACCGGCTTCCTTTACTGTGGTGAAGGAGTGGAGATTACCTGGAGGGGCCATAAACATCATCCACATAAAGTGAGAGAAGAATCCACTATGGCTGATTGTTTAACATGAAAAGAAATATGATAAACAGTAGGCGATTTGGGATAACGACTGAATGGGGACAAGGGTGATTCTCAAGAGTGATTCTGCATTATCACCTTCACTGTCTTCTAAGTCTGTGCTGTCCAGTGTCTTAGCTATGTGGTATTTTTTAATAATTTAAATTAAATAAAGTTAATTCATTAATTAATGACATTCAGTTTCATTAGCCACATTTCAAGCGCTTAATAGCCACATGTGGCTATTCATATTTTGGACGGCACATATATAGATCATCCTAGCATCCCAGAAAGTTCTGTTGGACTGCACTGCTTTGAGATTTTTCATTTGCTTCTTGAAGTCATTCACCCCGGCCTACTGCTTTCCAGCTTCTAAAATGTAATTGCTCTAGTCTCTTCTCTTGTTCTCCTTTTTCTTGTGTATTATATTTTAAAAAATCATTTAATGTTGTTTTAGTGAAGTTTGGGGGAAGACAAAATACAGATACATGCCTAATCTGTTATTTTTCCTAGAAATCATTGCTTTTCTCTACCTCAATGTGATCTTGCTTTTGAGCCCACGTTCTGAGTAATCACTCTCCTCAGCCACTTCAGGGGTCCCTCCAGCTTGGGTTTGCCTCTGAGTTCCAGCTTGCTTCCATAAAGCCGTAGGGTCAGCTGGGGATGTGTGTGTGGTGTGTGGGGTCGGCATTTCTGGCTGTCATCATGTAGTCCCATTGGCATTCACGGTGACTTGTCACTCTCCTGGCCCCTGGTTAACAGTCTATAAACATCATGTCTGCAATCTTCCCATCTGCAGTTGAGGTCTTCTCCAGGTTTGCAGGCTCTGGGCAGCATGCTGGTATGTGAGCAGACTTCACGGGGCAGCCTCAGGCCTGTCCGCCCAGGCATTCCGTGCTGGGCAGGAGAGAAGAGAGACTTCGTGCTTCCTCAGGTTCTACGTGGGAGGTAGGGCACAGGCCTCTTCTACTCTGGGCTCCCCAGATCTATCTGGAGCGGTATTCTCTCCCTCCGCGGGGAGTCCATCCATTGAGTCTACTGTTGATATGTCAATATTATGCCCTAAGTCATTTAGGGTTCTGGATTCCGAAGTTTATAAGCTCGGTTATGGTATCTCAAAAGCCATTTCTCTACAACTATGCTTTCTGCCAAGAGGTTCTGAAGCCTATTTAGCAACTCAAAAGCTGAGAGTTGTGTTTTTGCTCTGGTTTTCCACAATGACATTCTGAGGTCTTGAAGGTGGAGGGCCCTACTGGCAGCCGGGGTGGGGCAGAGAGGGAGGGTCGTGAAGTAACTGTGTCACTAGTAAAGCCTTTATGATAAACTTTCTTGCTCTGTTAACTATTTTCTCATGTATAGAAGATCTGCCTTTTCGCCTGGATGTTCGGTTTGTTGAGAGCAGAACCGCATTTAAAAAGCTTTTTCAGGAAAGAACATTTTCTTACCGTTATAAGTGTGTCCAGCATACGAAAATTACTTCACGGATTTGTTGAAGACCTTTAACTTTGTATCTTCATGGTACGTGACAGTGCCTGGAATGGAGTAAACATTTAAATAATTGATAAATTTGCTCAATATATCTTGGAATAGTTCCCCCAAAAGAAATAAACACTGAAAATATTACCCTTATACAATAGAAACAATTATACTAATTATACTGCATTAATAGTATTAACTTTATACAATGAAAAAGTTCACTTGGGAAATAACTTCATGACTATAAAAGAGAGGCTAAAATTTATTTTAAAAGAGGATCCTTAGGATTAAAATAATCCTTTTCTAATTTGACTTGTCAATTTCAGGCTCAAGTCGACGGGTCTGTTTTCGAAGCCCAGCCCTCGGGGCCAAAGAGGACCAGTTCTCTTTGCTTTCGTCTGCTGCTCCATTGCCAGGAGTACCAGCACGTTCCTTTTTTAGAAAATGCAGCTGCTGGCTTCTAGCCTATTCTAGCCACCCCAGAATCCAGTGACAACTGCTGAAGGTGGAGGGGTGGCACAGGTGGAGGAAAAGCTCACAGTCAGGAAAGCTCCTTGGTGACTAGGGTAGAGGTAAAAACGTCAGTCGGACACAGGGACATTTCCAGGACATATCGTAAAAACTGGGAGGGATAGAGCAAGAAAGCCATCCTGGGCAGCAAAGGTAGACGAGGCTTCATGGTCCTTCATGATGGGTTGATGGTGAATTAATTTCATGCCATGCCGCTGCTGTTAATTATTTAATTCAAGTTAAGTATCTTTTGATTTCCTCCTAAATGCAGACAACTGTGCTAGCTCCCAGGGATAAAGTACAATGATAAGTAAGATATAGCTTTTATTTTCAGTAGAATCTGCCACAAATTTCCTCATTTTTTCATAAACCACTAGTTATGCTGCTTCCCCAGTTTGCAGCTTCTCAATCACTCTCCATTTCCTTCGGGGCAGAAGGCAAATGCCCTTGCCCGACTCCCAAGGCCCTTCAGGATCCAATTCCAACCTATCTCCCCAGTCCTTTCTGCTTATGCTCAGTGTCTTATATATGCCAAAGAGGCCATGTCACCACATTCTCTTATAACTCTGTGCCTAGGGATGGAACTCTTAGCCTTCAGTTTAGCTGAAATGTCACCTTCTCTGACACATACCCTGTCATTTCTCTTCCTTCGCCCCAGGTTGTTAATGAGAAACTTCTTTAAGGGTGGAACTGTGCCCATTTCATCTTTATACCTCCAACACATGCTATGGCCCTGGCGCACAGTAGGCACAGAATGAGGACTAGCTTGGGGAATGAATGAAATGAACTTATTTATTGTCCTTTACTTTTTTTGATAGAACAACTGCCAATTTATAAAACTCCAGTCTTCTTTTCCCCCACTGTTACTAACTCTCTTTCCAGAATGCTGTCAGAAGGGTATCTCAGTGGACTTGCTTACCGGAGTGACATCCAGTGGAGTTGTACATCTTATAATGAGCAGGTGGCTGAGGAAAAGGAAGAGAAGACAGAAGCCACAGCTGCTGCTACTCTTTCCTATTCCTCCGTGGATGAAACACAAGTCCGAAGTCTCTATGTGAGATGCAAATCCTCAGGCAAGTTTATTTCTTCAGGGCATTCAAGAGACAGCCAACGCAGTAGAAATCCGAGAATCACAGTGTTGCAGACAAACCCCAATCCCGTGTTTGAAAGCCCAAACTTGGCCGCAGTTGAACTATACAGAGACCCCAGCAGAGAGACCTACTTGGTTCCACCTTCCTGCAAGAGTATCTGCAAGAATTACAATGACTTACATATTGCAGGGGGCCAAGTGATGGCCATTAATTCAGTGACAACAGATTTTCCCTCTGAGAGCAGTTTTGAACATGGCCCTTTGCTGAAATCGTCGGAGATTCCTTTGTCCATGGAGGATTCCATTTCCACTCAGCCCAGCGACTTCCCACCCAAACCTATCCAGCGGTATTCATCCTACTGGAGAATAACCAGCATCAAAGAGAAAAGCAGCCTGCAAATGCAGAAGCCTATTTCGAATGCAGTGCTGAACGAATACCTGGAGCAGAAGGTCGTGGAGTTATACAAGCAGTACATTATGGACACTGTGCTTCATGACAGTTCTCCTACCCAGATTCTGGCATCTGAACTCATCATGACAAGTGTGGACCAAATTAGTATTCAAGTCTCTAGAGAGAAGAACCTGGAGACCTCAAAAGCCAGGGATATAGTCATTAACAGCCTTTTACAGTTGGTGTCAACTGAAGTCAGCACTCCTGAAATTAGCACTCCGAGTCTCCATATTTCTCAGTATAGTAACGTGAATCCATAGAGAGGAGGCTTCTGTTCCTTTCTCAACTACTCAAATCCTAAGCAACAATTATTCACTTGTTCTGACGATGTACAGGAAGGGGCTGTCAAGAGCTAGATAAGTAAAGGTTGGCTGGAGGTCAGGTATGGATTAAGAGGAAATCTCATAATATTACATGTGAAGGAATGTGGGGAGAGGAGCTATAACGACTTCAAAGCAAGGGTTGGATAGCAACAAACCAAAAATAAAAATGATCAAAAAAGAGATTCATTTAAGGGAATACAGAAAAGAAAAAAGACAAACCAAATAAGAATGTACACCATGGCAAAACTAAAAGCCAAAGGTTTCAGGGGAAGGAGTTAAGAATATGTTTGTCACTCAAGTAAATTCCTCCAAGTTGTTTCTTCTGGAGGGAAATGGACTGTGGAAGGCTGCTCTATTTGGGTATAAAGACAGGCTCAAACAGTCTTTAAGATATGTTTATATCTAGCTTCCCTACCCTGTATCAGATCATTTAAAAATATATTCTTTATAAAGATTAAAACAGTAGCAAATTGCAATTGTGTTTTTTAATGTGTAATGATTACTTCGCTACAGCCACAAACACTGCCACTCAAATGTAATTCTGTTTACTGGGGGAGATGAAATTTTCTAAATGGAAAATACCACACAGTGAATATTAAACTACTGCTTTATTTTGCCGTGTTTGATTTTCTTGTTGGTACTAAGCTTCAAAAGAAATTATGAGGGCTTCCCTGGTGGCGCAGTGGTTGAGAGTCCGCCTGCCGATGCAGGGGACACGGGTTCGTGCCCCGGTCCGGGAAGATCCCACATGCTGCGGAGCGGCTGGGCCCGTGAGCCGTGGCCACTGAGCCTGCGTGTCCGGAGCCTGTGCTCCGCGATGGGAGAGGCCACAAGAGTGAGAGGCCCGCGTACCGCAAAAAAAAAAAAATAAATAAAAGAAATAATGAATCTTATTTTTCCCATTTTTTCCCTTCCTTTTCTACATGCCCTCTTGACCCTTCTGGAGCTAGGAAGGGGGTCTTCTTTATCCTCTTACAAGCTCTAGGGTCCCATGACATCAAATTCTGTAAATTCATGCACTGGAATGGTAGCTTCATGAGCACCTACCGTCTACTCCATTCCTCTAGCTCAGGGATTGGCAAATGATGACTCATTGGCCAAATCTAGCCTACCTGTTTCTTTCATTGAGGTGTAATCTGCATATAACGTGTTTCACGTGTACAACATGATTTGCTATTTGCATATTAGGAAATGATTACAATAAATCCAGTTACATCCTTTGAACTCCCATGAGCTAAGAATCTTGTCAGACATTTTAAAATAAAAATAAGAATATTTTGTGATATGGTAATTATGATATTCAAATTCAGGGTCCATAAAATAAGGCCTTACTGGAGCACAGCCACACCCATTCATTCATGTATTGTCTATGGCTGCTCTCACACTAGAAAGGCAGAGCCGCTAAATGCGACGGACAACATATGGTCCACCAAAGCCAAAAGCACCATCTCTCCTTCCACAAAAGAAGTTTGTCAACCCTGCTCCACAGCAGTGCCCTGCCCATCTGATGGCTGCTTGACTTAATTCAGCTTCCTTGAGGAGGCCCACTCTGAGATAGAAACTGGTGAGCAAGTTTATGGGGGTGGGTTGGGAACAATCTCTGTGAGGGAATGAGGAGAACAGAAGAGGTTTCTACAGAGGCCTCAGGCATCGCAGGCTCTGGAGTTGGGGTGGCCCTTCATAACTGATCCAAATTGAAATAAGAGCGTTGGCTTTGGTTCTCCTGCTTGACCAGAAGGGGGCGTAACCTTAGCTGAGGCAGTTCAGAGCAAAATTCCCGAAGGGGATCAGCTGTGAGCCTTTGGCAGCCAAGCTCCTGGCAGCTCCTGGGGGAATGATTTCCTCATCCAGGAGGAGGAAGCTGGGTGGAGCACAGTAGCATCCTCTGCATTTCTTAGTATTTGTAGAGTGAATGATTTTTTTTTTTAACAACATGTAATATCATGTAAAAAACCTGGTTTTGAAATAATTCAGAAATGTTATTCACTGCTTTGAATATATAGTAGCCACTATGCATTAACTGCTTGCCATGGTGCCTGGCACCATGTTAGGCATTTTGTATGAGTTTCATATAATTCGCATAATAACCTCATGAGCGTATGCCTATTATCCACCTGCCCCCTAGCTTTTTGGCTTTTTTTTTTTTTTCTTTAACACTGATGAGCAAGTTGGGCTCAGGGAAGTTAAGTAATTTGTCCAAGGGCACAGTGTGAGTGGTGGAACTACATTTGAATCCAGTTCCATTTAACTTTAAAGTCCTGGTTCTTAACTACTACCACCTGCTCTCTTGTTGACCACCGTATTTGTCTCACTAAAGACTGGTTTTCTACTCCAAGGGAAAAATAACTCACTCATCTCTTTATCATTATGTTACTTCTTTTCTTTAGAGTGTTCTGTTTGGTAGTATTCATTTGCTTCTCTTCCCCCCTCCAAAAATTGAAGCTTTGATTTATTCATTTGTTTCTCCACATCCTAAGCAGTACTTGCACATAGTAGGCAACCAGTTAATATATGTCAAATCCATAAACAAGTTTTGGCTGTGTTGGATACGGCATCTGATGGTTGAAGTGAAAGACCCATCAATATGAAAACTAGATAATTTTGACTAGCAAAAAGCGCTATTCAGAGTTCCTCCCCAAGAAGAAAAATGAATAAGTGAGCTTCATTTCTTACAGCAGGTTAGAGTAAATGGTATAATAAAAATGCGTTATAATAGTATCACAGATGTTTACCCTCTTGATTACTTGAGAAATGATTTGTTACAAAGCAGACTGGTTCATTCTTTTTTGAATGAGCATTTATTTGATGCTGCTTTTGGGGAGCACTGTGTATTAAACATACGCAGGAAAGACGTGTGTGTGTATGTGTACACACACAGAGGAGTAGGCCCTGTCCTCTGTAAGCTTGTTACGTTGGAGAGACCAGGCAAATAACTAAGGAACAAGTAAGGAAGCCACTTATTAAGCAAGACCTTGGCAAAGTGGTACAAACAAGAATACAATTATCAGTGATTGCAACTCAAGTGTGGTAAGTGCTGAAAAGGAGATGTGCCCGGAGGTACTGGACAGCGGAGGAGCCCAGGGCAGGCAAACATTCCAAAGGGGAAGTGATGGTTTAAACTACTTTTGAAGAACAAGATAGGATGTAGGTAGATGGATGGAAGGGGTGTTCCAAGCAGAGGCCTTAGTGTGTTCGGTACAATAAACAGTCTATGGCTGTAACCGGAGCTGAATGAATGCATGAACGAGTAGTATATTAACTTTCTACTACTACTGTAACAAATGACCACAAAATTCATAGCTTAAAACAATACAAACTTATCTTACAGTTATGGACATCAGAAGTCCAAAATCATTCTCACTGGGCTAAAATCAAGGTGTTGGTGGGTCTGCCTTCCTTCTGGAGGCTCTGGAAGAAAATTGCTTTTCTTACCCTTTGGAGCTCCTAGAGGCCACCCCCGTTCCTTAGCTCATGACTGTGCACCGTTCTAACCTCTGTGGCCATCATCACACCTCGTCTCTGACGCTAAGTCTCCTGCCTCCCTTTTATAAGGACCCTTATGATTACATTGGCCCCACCTAGATAATTGAAGTTAACGTCCTCATTTTAAGATTCTTCGGACTTCCCAGGTGGTCCAGTGGTTAAGAATCCACCTTCCAATGCAGAGGATGCGGATTTGATCCCTGGTCGGGGAACTCAGATCCCACATGCCCCGGGGCAGCTAAGCCTGCAAGCCGCAACTACTGAGCACGTGCACTCTGGAGCCAGCAACGTAAAGCTGCAACGTAGAGCCCACACGCCGCAACTAAGACCCTATGTGGCCAAATAAATAAATAAGTACTTAAACAGCTTCTTCAATTAATTACATCTGCAAAGTCGCTGTTGCCTTGTAAGGCAACATAATCACAGGTTCCAAGGATTAGGACATGAATATTTGCTGGGGCCAGGCAGGGAGGGGGACATTATTCTATCACAGATGGGACCATTTTTTCCTCTTGATTATCCAAAATTTGCCTCTCCACCATCAATCCTCCTTATTCAAGATGAATAAGTCCATGTTTGCTTATATATGTGAAATAGTTTGTTTCCTTTTTTGTCTGCTGTCATCTCATACTGTGTATTCTGTTTTGTCCATAGGCGCGAATCCACTTTTTCTCTTGCTCATTTTAGACATCCTTTTCTGGACTCTAATTCTACTTGTATCTTTCTTTCTTTTAAAATACGTTTCTTTTTTCCATTATAAAGGTGGTACCTGCTCACTCTAGAAAATTTGGATGACAGCAAAGTAGAAAAGATCACCTCTAATTCCTCAATCCCCAAGTACTCATAGTTAACATTTTAAGTGAATTTCTTTCTCCACGTACTGTGTTTTGTTTGTTTTTCCTTTCTTTGAGTAGTGATTATGTTATCTTTGAATAAAATGTTGTATCTTCTGTTTGTTTTACTGACACCTTAACAGAGGTAAAAGTTCTAAAACTAACAGATTTGCATTATTCACAAAGGGATAATCTCTTAGCTTTTTTTCCCCTGTACACTATTTGATAATGTCTGATATTTTGTGGACATTTTCCCTGTGGTAGAGCACTGGGCCAATATAATCAGGAAATTGTGTATATTAACAATAAGGCCTCTGAGTTTTGTTAACTTAGAGTTTGACATTCAATAAATATAATTTAGATTGTTTTCCTTTTCTATTGTATTGTCCATACTAAAAACCATCTGTCATATTTTTTACCTACTCACACTTTAAATTCAACTAAATTCAACAAATATTTACTGAGCATGAACTGTTATACAAAGATGAGATTCACAGTTCCTGTTTAAAGAGCTCATTTATGTAGTACAAAACTTATTAAGCAAAGCACACTGAGTGTAGTAAGACATGTGCAATGACTATTTAAGGTGTACTGAATCATTTTTCTTTCAGTTTATCCCAGTTCAGTAGCTATAGCCCTTGCTTATCTCTATTTTCTTAGTTTTGGACTCTCAGGCATTATCATAGGGCTACGACTAGAACCTTTTCTACTGAGCACTCTGGGAGGTGAGGGAAGGGGTAGGGGTGGGGTACCTTCAGTATGGACTTTAGTCATCAGCCCTGGCTTTGACCTTGACTTGGCCTTAATCTCAAAGTGGGCATGATGTGTGGCCATTGCACATTTGGTACTGAAACCTCTCCCTTCCTTCCTACAGCCCTTATTTCTGTCTTCCTGTGCCCAATGTCTTGCCAGGAACAACTCAAATATTGAAAGGAATGAGGTCAAGTAGAGAGTCTTTCAACATTTCACTGGAGATCTGCAGAGAATAGTTGTTAAAGTTGTTTTTGTGATTTACCAACTTTGGGGATTAGGAGGATGAAAACAACAAGGCAAGTGTGAGATTGTTTTTTACAAATTTTCTTTTGCAGGCTATAGTTAATTTTTTTCCTCTAGAAAAATAGAGGAAAAGATCAAGGTTCAGGGGGCGAA